TCATCAACGGGCCATGTTTATTCATCTGAACAGATTTGGAGAAATGTAGCAGTATATCACTTACTCACCAAAGGATACTCTGCAGTGAATGGGTGCCGTCAGAATGAGAGTCCAAACAACTTACAAAAAAACATCACAATAATCAACAAGTAATCCACACGACTCCAGTCAATCAATTAACATCTTGTGAAGAGAAAAGCTGCATGTTTTTAATAAACAATACCATCATCAACACATTTTTATTCTGAACCACTGCTAAAATACAACTCCTCTATCCTTAATATTGCTTTCTTCATTTTGAGGTGATTTATCCATTTAAATGGAGAGCAAATGGTGCATTTTGTTTGCCACAGTAGATATCTATTTCAGAGTCCTTGAAAGTAATTTGAATAAAAATGAAGATCAGTAAGAGATCTTTATTTATTTTTGCCTACATTGCTCTGCTTGTCTAGTTGCATTGCAATGTGCAAATGATCAGATTCAGGAAAGAGCTGTTTTTTTTAGCACTGTCTTTCTTGAAAGTTGTTACTAACCTTCACATTGCAAGAGCTGTAATCATGCCATGCTGTACGTTTCCCTTGGGTCACACCAAGCTGCGATTTGACCTGCAAACCATAAGTGAAAGTGTGTCTGTGTAGTCATCAGTCATACAGTGATGGGAAGAAAATGATGAAAGTACCGTTAAGGCTTGACAACAAGAGAGGAGCACATTAATATGAAAGGCATTTTTAAAAATGTATTTGTTGTGGTCACTGGAGTTGTGTGTGACCAGGAGCTGTTAAAAAGCATATTTACGTGATGCATTTCACACATGCGTTCACATGAGCGCACACTAACTCACAGACGGAGTGAGAGAATCACATGCAGAATGGTTCATAAAAAGGTTCATAAAAAGCACTCATACATGCCAATTAGACTGAAAGCTTTTTCATTAGCCAAGCTCTTGTCTAAAATGTAATAAAGCAGTGAATGAACAGATAAAATACTCCCTTCCGCTCTAATGTACCTCTGACTGTATTGATATTCTAATCATTTGATTGAGCCACAGACTTGTATAAAAATATTAACAGAGTTTGTTTGTTGTTATTTCACATCTGGTGATAATAAGAAACACCTGGCCTGAAATTAAATTGCATCAATATAATTTAAACTTAAATAAGTAAATAAATAAATAGTTACTTGAAATAAAATAAACATTAACTAAAATCAAATATATAAAAGTTTAACTTTTTATTTAATATATTTCTTATTTTAATTTGGTTTACCTTGATGTAGGCTACTCAAATAAAACATGATTAAATAAACGAATAAATAAAATAAAATGAAAATGGAAATGGAAAACATAAATATAAAAACGAATTAAAAATATTAAAAGCTATAATAATATCTCAATTAACAACATTTCTGGATAAGTAAGACCTCATGGGTGGGTGAATGGGAGTTTAATGACCGTCTTCCTCTGTGATCAGATTAGTGGGCATGACGCTCTATCTACTGGACAAACTGTGGTACTACAGTACCTCAGCAGTGGGGTTGGTTGTGTTGCTCTTTTAGTATGCAAAATTGTCTCAATCCAGGCCTACCTCAAGCACTAAGACATAAGATGTGCAGGATATCATGTTATGCTTTAGGGATTCTATTTTTTCTAAATAATACACAGGTATAAACCCCATGTGTGTGTGTTTTAGAAACAATATCAATTGGAATCAACATGTGTCATCAGTTTATTTTTAAAGGGGTCATATGATGTTGCTAAAAAGAACATTATTTTGTGTATTTTGTGTAATGAAATGTGTTTATGCAGTTTAAGGTTCAAAAAACACATTATGTTCCACATACTGTACATTATTGTTTCTCCTCTATGCCCCGCCTTTCTGAAACGTGTCGATTTTTACAAAGCTCATCGGTCTGAAAAGCGAGGTGTGCTCTGATTGGCCAGCTATCCAGTGCGTTGTGATTGGCCGAATACCTCAAGCGTGTGACGGAAATGTTACGCCCCTACCATACTGTGATGCCCTGTGAGGCCGGAGCGAGACAAAAACATTAAAACCCAATATAAACTAGGCATTTGTTGCATCCAGTGGGGACATAATTACGGATTATAATGACTTATACTGTCTTTTTACGCGTTGCGTTGCATTGCGTTGCGTTGCATCGCGCCACGCCGCGCCGCGTAAACATAAAACCATGTCTGCATTTGTGATCGACAAACAACAAGCGCTACTCTACACTGCTCAAAACTCACGTTTGAATGATCAGTGGCAAATTTTTTAAATATAAAAAACGTACTTACAGTCTGTGGGTCAGAACAGCCGGCATTGTAGTCTACTCTACCAGGATCAGGAAACAGTCCTCCATAAAATGCGCTGGACACATCGGAATATTTCCGTGAAATATTCTGGAAGTGTTCTGGAAAATTGTAAATACAACTTAACCACTGTGAGCGACGGCTGGCGGGCTTGTGAACGGCGCGGGCGTGAGGCAACCATATGTGACGATCCCGGGCTGGACTCCGCTTCGTCCACGGTGAAAGC